GAAAGACTGAGCAACTAATTGAAATTTGTGTCCCAATTCATAAATAAAAAATGTTATCTTTAATTTGTTGGTGATTATGTGAACTTTGAAGGCAAGTAGAACAACCAAATCTTATTATTTGTTGGTTGTTGTGCCGGCAAGTTTTGGACACACACATACTTTCTATATTATAATAATATTAGATAAATACAAATATGATAATAATAATATAATAATAATTATTATTATTGTTATTATATTATTATATGAATGACTTATGTCCGATTTTTTATATCAACGGTTTCTAGATAGAGTTTGTTAAACATGATTCATGTTTAGTGTAGTTTGTAAGTTATTGTACAAGAGTAGATGTCGATGCAGTTTGAATTTCGTCCGTAAATTTTATAACTTTGGGTTGGGGAATTATTTATATGTATGTATAAATAATGTTTAGAAATTAGAATGGACATGATTTTTGGTAATTGCTGCACACGTGTGACAATCGGGCCGGCCCATTTAAGACTAAGCCCACATCAACAAATGGAAGCTTAATTTTTGCTTTCACCATCACCTCCTAAAGATTGGGTTTTGGGCCTATGGCAACTTGTATCAAAATTGAAATAAAAATTTTGTTCCCGAAGTAGATTTTTTTTTTTTTTTTCGTCGAACGAGGAATTCACCTAGTAAACCGTCTCGGGTCATTCTTTTCACTTCGTTTTTTTTGCGTGAAACAAACGCTCAGTGCCTATGGTTGTTGTAAAAATGGCAGAAGGTCCCCGACCCGGGGTCTTCTCTAGATTGTTCGTCTCTAAACTTAGGCTCCATTCACGGGCCCCTACACGAAGGGGCCACCAATAAAAAATATTTCCGTAAATTAAAAAAAATAGTTCAAAAATACTTTTCTTTCATACTTTGGAGTAGGGAGTCAATTTAAGAACGGCATGGAAAACGTAGACATGCAACAACTTTCACGCACCACCGTCCAAAAGAATTTCGCTTTCTTTTCATACTAAATAAATTAATAATTATTTAAATACTACTTATATAGCATTTAAATTTTATATATTTACCTCATTGATCAAGTCACCATGCATGACTGAATATCTTATATTGTTGTGGTTGTGGCCCAAATGTGTCTTGGGCCTATAGCCCAATTTCCACATTACACACACACTTGTCTATTTGGAAAGGCCCAACCAGAATAAGTCCAGCCCATTAGTGGGAATGTGCTAGAAGGCTTGAATCTGAACCGTTGGTTCTGGTGTGATCTCAGCCGTTCATTATAGCTGACCTTTCCTCTCCCTTGTACCTCCTTTCCCGTTTTGTGCCCTAGACAATCTCTGTTCTCTCCTTTGGTCCCCCTCTGCTTCTTTCTTCTTTTGCTCCAGCAACCATGGGCCATTCGCCGCCGTCCTTGGCCGTGCTTGTCCCAGTGGTTGTCTCTTCAACGGCTCCTTTTGACTGGAGTCCCTATTTAATGC